GTACCAGGATGTAAATATGTGGCTGATCCATCATTAAATATGCATAAATTATTATTTGAAATAAAATCCTCAAGGAGTTTACCTTTATTGTTAGTTGCGGAACTACCCCACAGAGGGTTATGGCCGTTAAGATCACCCATGATGATACAGGGTTTTGGGAGCTGATCGAATAGATCCTGAAGATCGGACTGCTGAAGAACTGAAGAAGGAGAAATATACAAAGAGCACATCGTAAAGGTTATCTGTAAAGTAAGACGGACAGCAACAGCCTGAAGATTGGTTTTAAGAGGAACCGGGCTATGGATAACACCCTGCCTCACGAGAATAGAAGCACCGCCAGTGGCTTTATCACCTGGAGGTGAGAATGAATGAAATGAATTGTATCGACGCAATTCAAATCTATCTGTATTTTTCAAGTATGTCTCTTGGAGACTCAAAACCGATGGTTTAAAATCTTGAGATAATAATTGTAGATCATTAAAATTATTCCTAAGGCCTCTGCAATTCCATTGTATTAAATTAATAGAGTTGTTCATTGCGCTTCAACAGGGGATCTTGACCACGAAGAATGTCTACTCCCTCCTCCTGGCTGTGAGGGAGTGACCTCCATATCAAGAGGTCCAAACGGATTATGAACCGTCACGGATGTTGACGAGGTAGATGGTACCTCTAAATGCTGGAGGGCCTTTGCCCTTCGCATCTTTTTCTTTTCTTTATTTGACAAATGGCTAATGTTTCCTGGATTTGATTGTGTCTCTGGTTCTTGTTCTGTCTGAGAGGCAGATGTTGCTCATTTTGAGAGGACTGGGTGTATTCATCGATTGTAACTTGTTTGGCCTTTACCCAAGATATTGCTGTCTGGCATGAAGTTGAAACCTTTGTTACAGGATAATGAACAGGGGTAGAAACAGTGGCTGAATATGTTCGAGTTGTAGTGGTTTGAGACTGTGCAGGTATTAACTTTTTGGCTTCTTGGTAGGAGAGGTTGTTAGTGATTTTGATTTTGAGAATCTTTGACTCGAGTTCAAAATTAGGACATGATTTGGACGATGCCATGTGCTCACCGTTACAGTTTGCACATCTGATGTCTTTTGTACATTCGGTGTTATCATGAGCCCCACTGCAACTGGAGCATACTGGTTTACGAGTGCATGACTTGGTACCGTGTCCAAACTTAAAACATTTTGGCACTGGGATATTAAGTAACCAAAACATCGACAGCAAAGGGATTAGGGATGTAAACATCAACTGGGATATTATGAAGTAACCAGCTTTAATAGCTTTTGGTAGAGCCGACAGCCCAAAGGTGAACAGGTATGTATTTGCCAGAACAAGCCCTTTTAATTATATCTGCCTCCTGTTTTAATTATATCTGCCTCCTGGTAAACCGCTTAACAGCAGTTACTTCTTGGTGTTTCAATTCATCAACAATTTCTTCTTCTGTCATATACGCCAGACAACGAGATCAGTCACGGACGATACCTCTGCAAGAGTTCAATGTCCTGTGCACAGAGACAACAACCTGTGTATTAACAAATTGTTGTAATCCCAACAAGTTTACAGATTGTTGCCTCCGGGCACATTCAACAATAAGTGAGCCAGAACGAAGACGTGTGACGTTTGCTACCTCTCCACAGACACCTTTGATACCCATGGATATAGCAAAGGGATTCAGTTTCAATGGACTTCCATCTGCGGTTTCAATAACCAAGAATCTTGGCCATGAATCCACTACCTCTGAAGAGACTTCATCATCAGATGATGTTGAAAGATGTCGACGTTTATTCGTTTTTGAACCAGGGGGAATGTTGTGAGCCATAGTAATATAATGATTTTCAGCAACTCTGATCTCCACCCGCCATCGAGTGTCAACAAGGACGATCCTGCAGTGGAAACCAAACTGCACGATCAGAGCTACAGGGATGCTATACTCCAGAAATACAGACATAAATAGCTAAGAACTCAAAAAGAAGAAGTGTCAGACTGGTTCGGCCCTTAACATTCTTCTTAAGAAATTCAGAATTTAGAGGTCTATACCACCAGATTTGCCCATGAGCCACCGCCTTCTGGCATAGGACTCTAGGCAAAATGTAAATTTGCATTAACAAGGTTGTCACGGTCTTTAACCAACAATTTTATGTCATGATTAATCCAAATGAAAACTTTCCATGCACAGGGCATGACGTGACCAGCCGATTGATAGAACCGGGCCAGTTCTACCACCCGTCTAGGTGAAGTAAGGGGCGAAGTGGTGTGTTGGGCAAAAGGAACACGGTTCCAGGCTCCGAGGGCCCTCAACCACCAGCCTCCCGTCCTCCACCGACACAGGGGCGCAACCCACGGCAAACGGGTTGGTGGACCAAATATACCCCCGGGTCAACAACGGGGGGTCGAAGAGCGCTTAGCGTTACCCAGCACCCACCACGAGGAGGTGGCTCTTCACGGGTGCCCCTTAGATGGAATATGACGGCCAAACAGTTGATCGCTTCGAAATTTTAGTGTTGGCGTATACAAACTATGAGTATAAACAGAGTAATACAATTGTTGCCATAATTTCTTATTTGTTTGTGTCAATAAAAATATTTAAAAATATCAAATGTTTCTGTATTTCATTTGTCGTTTAACAAACACCTCAAGTTCAAAGAGTTGTCTCCCTTTTGATTGATGAAACATACAATATACAGTTTATTGTCGTTTTTTTATTATTTTCAATTTAATGTTGGTTTTTAAAGAGATTTTAAGGGTAATAAATTAGTCACTTCGTCTCAGAAAATACGGAATTTACAAGGGTCTTAGTACTCTTACAGTCCCGTACACCCTTTTTTCTTGAACTTATGTTAAAGAATTGAAACGATTTCAGAGTGTAAGTACGTGCGTTTTGGTGTTGTTGTTGATATGCAAACATCCCCGAAGTTGGGCCCAAGCAAACTAGGCTGCATGTCTTCATGTCCCTTCGGGGCGGTGGGGTAGCCTAGTGGTTAAAGCGTTGGCTCGTCACGCCGAGGACCCGGGTTCGAATCCCCACATGGGTACACTGTGTGAAGCCCATTTCTGGTGTCCCCCGCCGTGATGTTGCTGGAATATTGCTAAAAGCGTCGTAAAACCAAACTCACTCACTCACTCACCTCATGTCCCTTCGGCGTGGATCGTTGATCACACTTTCCATGACGATATTACCTAATCCAGACAATGATCACGTGATCAGTCTGACCTTTTGAAAATATTGTTTAGTTGGTCTTCAGTAACCCAAGCTGGTCGTCAGTGATGACAACTGAATCGGGGAGTCAATCCTGCTTTGCTTGATGCACGTCACCGTATCCCTTTTCTCCAAATCTAAGCTCATGATGTCAATCACTGGATTTGTAGGGTCCAGTCTCGACTACATACGTGGCTGGAATATTCCAGAGTGCGGCGCCTACCTACAAAACCTGATCAGCATGGACGCAGTACATCACAACATACTATCTCGTATAAAGGGTTCCCTCTGCAATGATTGAATTTATAAAATAAATCTGTTTTTCATTGGTTGAGAAAGGATCACACATCCTTCCTTAATACTCGCTATTGTCCTGAGAACCACCATGCATGCACCAGTCAAGTGGTATGGCTCTGCCTAATAAACCAATGGCGCGCAAAATTGATAGACCGACAAACAATTAGAAATATTGTCGGGTTTTCTTTCAGGTTAATCAATAAAACAATTATTGGCCATTTTTAGGACAATGTTATGTTTTATGACCGCAGGGAAGAAATATCGCAACAATGAAATTGTTATCCAATGCTTTGCAGAGCATTGTGGCATCATTAGTTACTATGACGTCTTATAGCTAAAATACATGAAGCTCCTTCGTCGGGCAGTTAATGGAAGACCTCGGGCTTCTGCAAATGATAATGCCCTAAAAAATAGCATTACCCTTATAACAATCAATGCCGTCACTGTTCTCTTTGCCACTGACGTTGGTCTGGAATAAATAATCATCGCATCCCAAATGCGTAGAACGATGCTCATGATGTCAATCACTGGGTCTTCGATCTTTTAGTCGTCATACAGCTTGAATATTGCTGAGTGAGGCGTTAAACAATAAACAAAAAAATCGTTAGCGAATGAATTTGGACGATTATGAGAAGCACACTTCTTGTTGTTATTATTATTATTATTATGTTTTACAGATTAAAGATTGTATGCAGCAGAGAGGGTTCGGGTGATCCTGGCACAGTCAGGCTGGTAAGGCTCATCGTCAGCTCAGGGCCCTTGCCCCCTCAACACGCAGCCCAGGCAGCGAATGGGACTTCTCCCAGGAAACGCTGCCTAGTCGAACCCACCAAGAACTTTCCGGAGAATATGAAGGCTCCCCAACACTGCAGCCTTCTGCATTACCCAGAGTGTCAGAAGGGCTGTGCTCCCGTTGGAGAACCCGGGCACTCTCCTGATCTGCGCCAAGAGATCAGGAGGTACAAAACCAAAGGCGCTGAGAACAGTGGGGAGCCTGACGACAGTGTACTTGGGATGCAAGCGAGACATTTCAAAGGCGAGGTCCGCATATTAATCATGCTTTTCCTGAATCTTGCCAATCACATTGGTGTCAAAAGGGCCAGAAAATTCAATGATATAAATAAATTCATTGGCTTTATCAAAAAGGTATTATTATTATTATTATTATTATTATTATTATTATTATTATTATTATTATTATTATAGGAAATTTATATAGTGCACATATCACGCAATAGTGCATGCTCAAGGCGCTGGTATTTTTTATTGTTCATAAAAGTGAGAAACATAATCGATCAGGGACGAATAATTTTTTTATTCGTTATCCAATTAATTGTACACAAGTTGAACCATTGGTTTAACACTTTTATTTCACGAGATTTGTAACCATTTAACCAACTGTATCGGTTTAGATATATGCGTTAATTCTGTTCTGACATAGTATCCAACTGAAGTCGCAGTGGATCAATAATCACAGGTCAAATCGAGTTCTCTCCCCTTAAACAATGTGACATGTTTGCTCGACAGATGGCAGTGTGAAGAAGAAAGGGGCATGGGCAGGTCATGACAGCAGTAAGTATAACAATAATAGCGTATTTTTTTCCGGGATTGTTGTTGTCAGAATTTGATGTTAATTTGGAACCAATTAAATGTCATACTTACGCCTCGGAGCAGTTCAAAAGCTTGTCTGATACGAGAGCTCTGTCAGCTAACGTTCGGAGCTCGGTTTGTGAAATCAAGGTGTGAACCAGGTTCCTTCGTAATACAGCTGTGTTGTGTGAGCAAGCTGGTGCAAGGCAGCGTCTAGTCTCCGTGCATGCACTGTCTCACGTACACAGACGCGACTGTCTTTCTAAGCATTATCTGTTCGTATAATTGCTATATAATTTGCCATCAAAGAATATCACGACCATTGAAAGTAATGTGTTGCCATATATCGTCTACAAACTGAAAAAAATGGCATGAAAGAACTTTGTTGACAATGAAAAGAATGTTCAACGTTTGGACACAGGGTGTTGAAATTCAATGTGCGTTGATATGATACAGTGGTAAACATTGAAGTTACTTGCAATTGTTTACATGGGTTTTATTACATTAAATGAACTGAATTGAAAGTTGTGCATTTTTTCCTTTTCAAATAAACTGCAAGACGTAATCTTCAGCATATGAACATATAGTAATCAGACAATATCTATGTAAGGAATGTAATATAAGTTATGTATAGTTCCCCAGAATTAGAACTTCTGCAGGGATTTTCCTAGACCTGCTCAGGGGTCATTGCTCTCCAAATCTGCAACAACTGACATTACAAATTATGAATGTGAGTTTAGATATGTGATACCTTGTTCAGGGATTTACCTGAGTCCTATATTTGAGGGTTTGAGGGTCCCTGGAACACATACTCTTAATTTTCAGGGGTCCTGGGCTACAAAATGGGGGGCCGAGACACTTAAATATCATTATTAATACTGCGTTGCAATATTGTTGTAATTCAGTTACTGTTATTCAGTATTGTGTATCATGATCATCACATTGTTACAGTAACTAAATTGCAAATGATACCATAACCCGGCTAGTAGCAGACTCGGTGATAACTTATTGTTACTTGATCTAAATCTTTACAAAAAGTATTTGGACTTTTCCTGCGTCCCAGTGGATGCGTTAATAAATTTCGTTGTGTCCATTGTCAATTTTTATGTGTATAGGATGCAGGAACTTTGCGTCCTGTAAATCCCTGCCTTGTTAACTAGTTTATGGCATTGTAGAGATAACCCGCTTTTCACTGATAACCACACCAAGATAGGAAGAAATTTTAATGGTCGTTTTTGTAATCTGTAACTGCATTGAATACACTCTGAAAGTACAGTTTACATTCGTCTTAGGTTGATATTTTTAATGATCCCAATTCAGGAGTAACCATATTTTTTGCCCCATTTTGAGTGCTTGGGACAGTTTGGGTGAAATCTTGGACATATCCATGTGTCAAGACAAAGTTTGAATAGAGTTATGTTTACAGAGAAAAATCAGTTCCAACTTGTGTTACAGAGAACTTTCCCACACAAATCAGAACCGCCTGAATAAATCAGATATTTTTCTTGGCCTTATTCATGGTGTAATCATAGATATGAATATGAATCAGCAATTTAGCTACTGCAAACCGGTATATGATTGTATGAGTTGGCCAGCCCTCTGTTACACATACGTATAATCAACACAACCTGTACCCCTCAAAAACAAGAGTCTCATGGTGTCTGGGTAAGAGTAGGTCCTGAGTGTACAATACATGGATGTCTGGGTAAGAATAGTTCCTCGGTGTACAATACTTGGATGTCTGGGTAAGAATAGGTACTCAGTGTGTAATACTTTGATGTCTGGGTAAGGATAGGCCTTTAGTGTACAATACTTGGATGTCTGGGTAAGAATAGGCCTTCAGTGTACAATACTTGGATGTCTGGGTAAGAATAGGTCCTCAGTGTACAAAACTTGGATGTCTGGGTAAGAATAGGCCTTCAGTGTACAATACTTGGATGTCTGGGTAAGAATAGGTCCTCAGTGTACAAAACTTGGATGTCTGGGTAAGAATAGGCCTTCAGTGTACAATACTTGGATGTCTGGGTAAGAATAGGTCCTCAGTGTACAAAACTTGGATGTCTGGGTAAGAATAGGTCCTAAATGTACAATACTTTGGATGTCTGGGTATGAATAGGCCCTCAGTGTACAATACTTGTATGTCTGGGTAAGAATAGGTCCTGAATGTACAATACTTGGATGTCTGGGTAAGAATAGGCCTTCAGTGTACAATACTTGGATGTCTGGGTAAGAATAGGCCTTCAGTGTACAATACTTGGATGTCTGGGTAAGAATAGGCCTTCAGTGTACAATACTTGGATGTCTGGGTAAGAATAGGTCCTGAATGTACAATACTTGGATGTCTGGGTTAGAATAGGCCTTCAGTGTACAATACTTGGATGTCTGGGTAAGAATAGGCCTTCAGTGTACAATACTTGGATGTCTGGGTAAGAATAGGCCTTCAGTGTACAATACTTGGATGTCTGGGTAAGAATAGGCCTTCAGTGTACAATACTTGGATGTCTGGGTAAGAATAGGCCTTCAGTGTACAATACTTGGATGTCTGGGTAAGAATAGGCCTTCAGTGTACAATACTTGGATGTCTGGGTAAGAATAGGCCTTCAGTGTACAATACTTGGATGTCTGGGTAAGAATAGGCCCTCAGTGTACAATACTTGGATGTCTGGGTAAGAATAGGCCCTCAGTGTACAATTCATGGATGTCTGGGTAAGAATAGGCCTTCAGTGTACAATACTTGGATGTCTGGGTAAGAATAGGTCCTCAGTGTACAATACTTGGATGTCTGGGTAAGAATAGGTCCTCAGTGTACAATACTTGGATGTCTGAGTAAGAATTGGTCTTCAGTGTACAATACTTGGATGTCTGGGTAAGAATAGGTCCTCAGTGTACAATACTTGGATGTCTGGGTAAGAATTGGTCCTCAGTGTACAATACTTGGATGTCTGGGAAAGAATAGGTCCTCAGTGTACAATAATTGGATGTCTGGGTAAGAATAGGCCCTCAGTGTACAATACTTGGATGTCTGGGTAAGAATAGGCCTTCAGTGTACAATAATTGGATGTCTGGGTAAGAATAGGCCCTCAGTGTACAATACTTGGATGTCTCGGTAAGAATAGGTCCTCAGTGTACAATACTTGGATGTCTGGGAAAGAATAGGTCCTCAGTGTACAATAATTGGATGTCTCGGTAAGAATAGGTCCTGAGTGTACAATACTTCAATGTCTCGATGAGAATAGGTCCTGAATGTACAATACGTGGATGTCTGGGTAAGAATAGGCCTTCAGTGTACAATACTTGGATGTCTGGGTAAGAATAGGCCTTTAGTGTATTTTAATTTGGATTCTAAGATGCTTCGGTGAAAGATCAAAGGTGCCGACAGTACTTTATCAGATGATAATGTGCACTTTTTGCATTACGTCACATGTATTGGCGTCACTGCGCCATTCTAGTCTGCCCCCTCGCAATCGACCAATTTTGCATTACGTCACAATGTAAGCGACGTCAGGATGCATATCAGTTGTCATCGCCTCGTACAGCCTCCTACATTAAACTACTCCGTTGCATCCCGTTTCTTGGTTTGCGGTTGCTTCATGCAGCTAACATCACTGGTGGAAACATTACGCTTATGTTTTCCGATGGTTAAAATGTCTCAATTCCGACTCACAAGTTTTCAGCGACACAGTAACTTTCGCATTTGTTTACATTCCCACAATGCAATCGTGGAATGTCGCTTGACTACTCAGCTTCATCTGGATGTACTGATCTGAACTTACATTGGTAGTAGAAATGCGACGATTGCCCCATATGGTTTATGTTAATCACAGATGTAATTGAAATATTTAAGAGAAGATATTTAATCCGAACGTAAACTGTCATCAAACTGTTTATCATTTTTTTCTGGTAACGTTCATCTTAATGTAGGGGGGCAGACACATCTACAGAACAGAGGCCAGTTAGTCCTGTGCAAGGATTCTTAATTTAGGTCACCGACACCATCGTTTGTTTTCTGCCTTAGATTAATCGTAATTATGCTTAGAAAGTATTAAAGATCACATATACTCTAGGGGGGTACAAATACATAAATCACTAATTGACATCGTTATAAATGAAACCCCGTCATTAAGACTACTCATTTCGATCTTTAATTAACTTAAATCGACCTTTTTGACAACAGTGCACAATTCTCACCCGCGAACGAAATTTCAACCAATCAGAGCAGCGCGTTTCTGTGACGTCATATGAGGAATAGATATGAGGGCCGATGCAGAATTCATGTACATTTCAGGGGGTAAATTATCTTGTTTACAGGTTTGTATAAATCGGAAATCGTGACAACTGTTGTGAAAAATGAAAGCTATATGTTCTCACAATCTACTGTCATTTAATTTTGTCTCCTGCTTTGCCTAGTTTCCGAGTTACAACTTGTTTTCATAGACGATTCTGTCGAAATCGCTTGGTGTCGCTAGGCCTTATTTGTTCGAGACAGACGCTAGTGAAAGCGAAAACGATGATCAGCCTCGCTCATCACGGTTATGGTTAATTTCTTCAACCTAAACAGTGCGACATTAAGAAGGGTGGATGCCCATCAGATGCAGGTATTTGAAAATATACCCGGTAGTTCTTGTCTGATTGTAATAAGTATCAAAGCAGTGGGGGCTTTTTCAGGTTTTCTAATGCCTTGATGGTATAATGACTGATCCAAATTGATCCCATTTCTGTGTTTTTTTACCTCGATATTTAATCATGTCATGTAAAAATATGACATCTATTAGGTATGGTATTAAAAATTGACATTTGATTTATTTGAATCCGTAAACTAAACAACCCTACTTTGCCATTGCTAGAAGAATCTGAAAATTTACTTAGGTAAATAGGTACATACAGATTTAGCACACAGCAAATGCTTATGTATTTCTTATGCAAAAACTCCCTTGTTGTAACCTGTGTTAGGTGGTATAAACCTACACATGTTATTTGTCATCATTCACTTGATGGTCAGTTAATGAATTTATAACAGGTATAATTAGTGGTAACACCACTTAGATTACCAGACAAAGGTTTCCATTTGGCATTTCCTGTGTCTGGAGTAAATACTCAACATTATAAACATCGATCAAAGGATTAACCGATAACACGCTGATTGATTAATTACTTTTATCTTACACAGCGGATTTGTCAAAAGTAGTGTTTATGTATGTATATTTACTAATCTATACTGAATACACTCTGTCGTGTCTGTGTCTGCGTAAAAACAATGTCCTTCTTTCAAAGGATTAACCGCCAATACATTGATTGATTGCTCATTATTGGCTAACTAAATTACTTTTTTTTTAAAAGAATGGCGGACATTATGCAGATAGTTGCTATCTTGGGTGACCAATGAGACTATACACCAATGTGAAATACCTGAAATGATATATCACTTTTTCATATATTAGACTGTTAATAGACACATCACTTGGAACAGCTGCAGATGAATTGCATATCACTTGTTTTTTTGTGGATATTGATGGATACATTCCTCGAACAAGGTAATAGCCTGACATTGTTCCTATAACTTTAATCTGTTTTAATTTTAATATTTGCATTTTGTTTTTATTCATTTGTCGTAGCATTCAACAGAATCATTGTTTTCGGCGTGAGACAGACAACATACACTAGGGCGTGTGTGCGAATTATGATTCACATTGGCAAACAATAAAATGTCTTGATATTATAGTCCTGTTATAAATACACTATAAGTATCAGAAGATCGTCTGCTTTTTATTTAGTTTCAAAATGCATACAAGTATGATAATAAAGTAATTAGGATTATAAGACCACATATAAAGACGTACATTGACTAGTATCTACATACTGGTGAGTGGACGTTAACCACGTGAATGTAGAGAGACATTTATCGCGCAGTATTGTCACTTCGACCCCCACCTCCCTTTCCGTGGAAGAAATCGTTATGTTATAAGTTGTCATGCAAAATCCTTTTGGTTATGATTCAAAAACATATTTAACTACGAGTAGAAAGTAGTTTTGATTTTCTAACTTGATGAAAACAAACCATAATCTCATTAATTCTAACAGACTTTAGCCTGTGACTTTACGATTTTTAAAAATGTTGGCGCCCTGTCGCGAACATCCACCAGTCTGAGGATAAATGCTATTTAGGTTTGTTTTCACTGAGTTACAAAATCAAAACTACTTTCTACTAGTAGTAAAATATGTATTTGACTGATGGCCAATAGGATTTTGCATGACATAGCTTATAACATAACAATTTCTCTCGTGGAAGCGAGGTGGGTGTCAATTTAATACTACTTACAGTATTATTGTTACTTCGACCACAACCTAGCTTCCGAGGAAGAAATCGTTATGTTACTAGTTGTGTCATGGAAAATCTTTATGGTCATCAATCATATACATATGTTACTACAACTAGTAAGTAGTTTTGATTCTTTAACTTCTGTGAAACGATCTGAACACATGTAAGATATCGTTTCAGGCTTCCACAACGCTCGCTTCGCACTCACAAACATAACCCATTTAGCGGGAACTGCGGGGTCCTGTGGAAATCTGTGCATAGTGACACCATCGCCCGACCCCTAGGAGCAATTGACGACAACGCAACGATTCATGGCGTTGATGTCGAGAAATCATCAAAATCGCTTGATGTCTGAAAAATCATCAAAATAACTGTGGAGCTTGCTACACACTTTTAATATACAACTAACTGAAAATCCTTCCTCATATGACGTCACTGCAGTGCTCTGGCGACAGAGTTACTTAACCTGTCTGTGGTTTCGTTGGCGGGCGAGAGTGAAGCAGGCGACTTTTTGGCAACTTTTAATCGCTCGGTATTAATTAACCACAAGCGTAGTTTTTAAGAATGAATTTGGTGTTCCGCATAAGACTAACCACAAATCATTTTTCATATGTAATATTGTTAAAAAGAGTACTCTATTTTGACAAAAAACAAAGTTTATTTGTTCTTTAAACATTTGTGTGGCGTCATTCCATTGTCTGTTCGCTCCATTACTTTTCAGGAATGGAGCGATGTGTACCAGTTTCAAAATAAAACCTTCATGTTGTCATTTTGACATTTAATTTTGATAACAGCAATATTCCCAATACTTCGAATGTAATTCAAGTAGGGTAATATCCTCGTAACTCTCCATTCCTTAAAAATAATGTGCCTCGGCCCCTCCGATGTTTTCACGTGACAGTGTATACCTCCGGGTTATTTTAAGGAATGGAGAGTTACTCGGACATTACCCTCTACGTGATAAGCTTCTTTATTACAATGGTCATTACAATATAAGTTATCACATCGTGTTGAGGGAAATACAGGGTTTTATCAGTCCCGAGTAAGGTTATATTCCCCGAGCCTGTGATAACGCATTTATCAAGCCGAATGTTTTTACTAAATCAAAAGAAAACAATACGCATCAATTTCATTCTCAGTTGTGGCAAAACGTTTCCTTGCTGCCATGTTGACACCAACTGAATGATTGACCTCAATGCAGTGCACGTTACTAAAGGTTTGGCGATGCACGCTTTTCTCACTTCGCGTGGTCACCGAGGCGTCGCGGGATGATACGACTTTTGTACTCCCTGCTCACTGATCGTGACGGGTGTACATAGGCCTATATCAGGGGCCAGAAACGGTGGGTGCTGTTGTTTAAACGTCGCGTGGACGACGACTATACACAACCCATTGACATGGTGCACATCAACGTGAAGCTGGTTCCCAGGGCCAACTGGTGGTATCATCAGAAGTGACCTGTCTTTAACGGGTTCGACGCCGGGGCGCCTTTAAGCCCGATTTAACCCGATCTACGGCAGTTTTTCACGCTGCAGGTACTTGTTATGTTTCATACATCGACCACAGGGTTTTGTTGTTACTATGGATTGAAATCCCCGTGTCTTGGCTTTGACGTCATGTGCGACACGTCCGGGTGTCGTCACGTTTTCCCACCCTTAAAGCCCCCCGAAGCTAAGCCCCATGCATGTGACGGGAGCCAATACAGCTCAGATTTCATATCAAAAGGGGTTTGATCTCTGCATCCCGCTTGCACTAATCGTCTCGCACCCGGAGAAAGAAACATATGCACGCATATCATATAGTATTTTATCAGAGTCACGTGAACCAATCAAAACTCGACATTCTTACATGAGGCTGGAAAATCATGTTTATCACAGGACAATTGTGATTATGATAATCAATTGATTGGTACAATCTCAACTTCACTGTAGCCACTGTTCGGTCTGTCCCAGATATATAATCATGTACTCAGTTACTGATTCATCAATTATTTACACACTGCTCTCACATAGCTGAAACATTGCTGAGTCAGGCATAAATTAACAAACCAACCAATTTTCCGTGGTTGCCTTGCTCCACAAAACTACCATCATCCATCTTTTATTCTGCTCTGTAAGAAATGTTTATCATTTGTTTATAAATGTCCCCTACTAAGAGCGAAAGAATAATATGTGCTGTGTCTCTTAGTAAAGTACACCCGTGAAGACAAGTTAGAATTGGTCTTCAGTAACCCATGCTTGTTGTAAGAGGTGACTAACGGGATCGGGTGGTCAGGTTCGCAGGTTTGGTTGACGTATGTCATCGTATCCCAGTTGTGTAGATTGATGCTCATGTTGTTGATCACTGGTTTGTCTGGTCCAGTCAGGATTATTTACAGACCGCCACCATATAGCTGGAATATTGCTGAGTGCTGCGTAAACCTAAACTCACTGGCTCACTCACTCAGTAAAGTACAGATTCTAGTACTTTTGGGGGTTGAATCCCATCAGAATTTGAACCCACACTCTCAGCATATTCGCCACTGATCAACTTTGATCACCGTGTAAGTTATCTTAATAAGGCCAGACCAATTTTATTTCTTGTTTTACAGATTCGCCAGTCGTATTTTTTCAAGAATAAGAAAAGCAATAAAAATTAATTTTCCCTCTCAAAAAATAAAATCCTAATGTTTTTATCAGCCAAATATGTAAACTTACAAGAAAATGTTTATTGTTTTTTTGCCCCATATACAATTCACAAATTGCCAAAAGTAAAACCCTTTTATTATTTAGAAGGAATAGTACTTTGACTGGTGATTTTATTTTATTTTGTTTTCCCTCCTGCCTGTAGGTTATCTGTAAATCAAGAAATAAAATTGGTCTGGCCCAAGACTCCTTACCAAAGCTGAGCATGTCTTTGATAGTTCTTATTCTCTTGTTTCTGGTAAAGATTATTGGCTAAAGTAAGTCGCTAAGCATTGTGGAAAGTTGACTTCTTGAAACAGCTACAATGAATATGTTAGACTAACACGTAGTCTCTGAATATATGTAATTTTGATAGTATTATTAACAAATAAACCCATTTAGATTGAAAAGAAGCCCCAGTGAGATGGAAGATTCCCTGAGGAAATCTAGACATGCTTCATTAGGTGCTTTAGCAGTAGGGCAGGGGTGGAAATAACTCTTATATTGCTAGTGTACTCCCAAACAGTGGCACATATAAAATAAATTGCCCTGATAATCTTTCCACTATACCGGGCCATTTTCTTGTTGATTTTTTAAATAAACAACGTAACTAACATTGGAAAGTCAACTGGACACCTGTACAGTGTGATATACAAATTTGCTTGCCCGACAGAAAAAAACACTGGACTCGGACGTTGGGCAATGGGTTATTTCCACCCCTGTAGGGGTATATTTATGTGGGTCATGGACTGTGAGACAGGCTAGGTATGCATCTACAGCTGGCTACTGGAACAAACGCGTCAAGAAGTTTCCTCATAATTTGACATGAATATGTGTGTTGTGACATTGTATCGTCACAGTATCGTATCACTCCTCACTGAAAGAATCTCGCCCATTGACTCATCCTTATTTTCTGTTGCCATCTTGCAGTCGCCGGTGAACTGTTAGTTGGAAGCAACCATGTCGTCGGAATCTGCCCCCGAGCAGTCGCACTCTGCGCAGTAGAGACCCCTGGGGAGACAAGAAGAGGCCACAGAGAACACAACCACTCCGTAAAAGCAGTTAATATATTTTGTAACATTCACAAATATTTTTTGAGTGAATTGCTGTTCATCTGAAACTGTTTCCATGTTGCCCTTGGGAATATATACTACTTTACATTTCATAGGGATAATTATAATTATTTGTTCTCTTTGAACATACACATATTATCGTGATTATGAAAATCAGCTTTGTGTGGAAGTATGATGTTCCTATTGAAAGTTGAGTTGTATAGATTGGCATCTTGCCAAAGGTAATACCAGGTTCTATTAGGTTCCCAGGAACGATTTGGTTTAAAATTGATCTTCAGCAACCCATGCTTTGTCGTAAGAGGTGACTAACGCATACCTGTCAACTCTCACGCATTTGGCGTGAGTCTCACGCTTTATTGACAAATGTCACGCTCTCACGCCTCCAAATAATAGTCTCACGCATATCTGGTAGCCAAAATAATTTCAAAATTAATACGCATTTTCGTTCGTTTTTGCGTAAAGTTGAACATTGAAAGAACGCCTGAATGAACGAAGTACTAAAACGATGTTTATGCGAATGATTCGGCTTATTATTATTTATTAGCATGCATCTTCTAGTGTCAAAATAATGCCACCAGAAGGCTCCAAATGCTCCTGAAAATCACTAAATTTCTTTTCTTTTTCTTTTTCTCTTGGGGAAGAAGGAGACCCTCACCAAGAGACCCTCATGAGTTTTGATCCTTGCTTGTCTCGGCTGGACCAAACCATCTTTAGGGTTGACAGCTCTGCTAACGGGATTGGGTGGTAAAACTTCGCAGACTTGGTTTATGCTCATCAGTGGATCATTGCTCACAGTTTGATCAATCCACAATCGATTTTTACAGGCGTGTGCTGGAATATTGATAAGCGTGGTGTTAAACAACGAACAGCACAATACTAGTTACAAGAGCTGACCAAGATGTTTGGTTGGTTGGTTGGTTGGTTTGTTGTTTAATGCCACACTCAGCAATATTCCAGCTACATGGCGGCAGTCTGTAAATAATCAAATGGACCAGATAATCCAGTGACCAACGGCATGAGCATCAATCTACGCAATTGGGATACGATGACATAGGACTGCACAGTATTATCTATGACAATACGTCACACTGTAATACTATAAATTGTATAAAAAAGAACATAGAATCCACGACTATGCATCCTAATTTGAGACTGCTGTTACCAGAACCATAACATACATCTTTAGGGACTTATAATGTAGGGACTTATGATTGACATGCACAATTAGTGTCACTCTGTCAAACACTTGCGTTGAATGTGACGGCACGCTGTGAATACTATATTTACAAAACCGAAGAGAAATGGTAGCACGACATGTCAACAACAAAGTACAAACCATCTTTGGTCAGACAAGGTACCACACTGTGTAGAACCGCAAGCCTGACACTGAGAAGTATGAACATAGGTTTGAAGCTTACTACAATAGGGGGTTGGTGCGCTACATCCCAATATCAAATTTTCAAGATTAGACTCATTGTGACGAAAAACATTAGTTACCAAAGCCTGTTCGTCTCCCCGCGCCGCCATGTTTGGTGATTTTTATGCTGTTTCAGGATGCTATGACTACTGTCTTGTACGCTTGGCAACCGCTCTTGTAGCTGATACACGAGTTTTGTTTCCATTTCAAATGATTAGTTTTCCATTACAGATGCATTTGTTTCGGTTTTAGAGGAAATTAAAGTTTTGGAAGTTTATTTTCCTATTTTGGGGATTTTTGTTCTGTTTTGATGTATATAAGTTCAGTTTTGAGGATTTGTTCACCGTTTGTATGGTAGGCCTGTTTTTCTGCATGTCTTGACACACTTCCCTTTATCGTTTAATCTGTTGCTAGACTGTTGCCTTGTGTGTTCATAATCTGACTGACCGCCTCCGTGGTGTAGTGGTTAGAGCGGAAGGTCTGCGGGTTCGATCCCCGAACGCGTCATACCAAAAGACGTTAAAATATGGTACTTGTTGGTCCCTGCCTGGCGCTCGGCATTAATGGGTACAACAAGGACTGGTCGGCTCGGAGTCAGTATAATGTGTCTGAGTGGGGTATTCATGCTTCACTGCAGCATGGTATCCCAGTGGGCTAGCACTATAAAACCAGCTTAAGTCTGGGCTAGTACAAGCAGCCGCACATACACATACACACGCATGCACGTCGTCATATGAGCAAAATATTCTCAAGCACGACGTTAAACCCAATTTCACCTCACCTCATAATCTGACTAGCAGTAGGGTAGGCTAGTGGTTACAGAGCTAGCAGGCCACACCAAAAAAAACGATTCCCTACACTGGTACAGTTTGTGAAGTCCTTTTCTGGTGTCCATTTTCTTTGCTAAAAACGATCTAAAAACAACCCTCTCCCTCACTCACTCACAGATTTGACATGTGCAAAATTGTCTGAAGAACAATGACAGTAAGTTTATGTTTTCCAAAATTTCTGTTTCAGCAAGAACTGTGACCTCCAAAGACGGTATGAGCTCAATGATGACTTCAGGGGAAAATCGTGGTCGATTCCGATCCAAGTTGACAGACACATTGAAACTGAAACTTATAGCACAACATCCACGCAATGCAAACCATAAGAAAACAACAGCAGCAGCAGCTAAGCCTGTTGTTCCAAAGCCAACTGTGAAGAAGAAAACTCCCCCTAAACCACCCGTGCTGGTGACTCAGGTGAAAACAGATGTGACAATTCCTAGCGTGGCACCAGTGAATCCTGTCAATGGATTATCGGTTGTGAATAATCACCATTTACCCAAGTCTCACACACTGTACATTAGTAACCTACCCGTGGATATTACCAAGGAGCAACTCGAGGAACATTTCAGAAAAACAGGTAAGTGTGTTACCATGGTAACATGGCATTAAAAGTTATTTGATGCTGAAGATTAATAAAATATCAGCTTTACATTGAGTTGGGTTGAATGCTGCTTTGAACAGAATACCAGTTATATCTAGGCATGTCAGCTAATTGTAGGAGGAGAGCCCAAAATCTTTCAGACCTTAGGGAAACTCAAGAGCTTGGACATGGTGCTGACAAACATGATATTCAAAATCTGGAATTCAACCACATGAATACAGGGGCGCGTTGTTCAGCAAAAGTTTGCAAGCTTCGCTGCGCTACGCTGCCTGCTTTCCCGCGCAACGGACTGCTGTGTGAGCGCTTCATTCAATATGGCGTCGTCCAATATAAACACATCACCGATACTAGCCACACTTTTGGCACACGAAGCTGCAGAAGATATTCCATGCAATGATTTTGAATTGTATGCGCAACATTAAAAACTTGTCCCTATTGGTTACAGGAGAGCAGACAAGTTTTCTCTATTACCTTGCAGAATGACATGCCGTGACGCCATTTTGAATGTCGCCAACTACAGGAAGCACCTCTCTCAGTCGCTGCTGCCTTGGAGCTCGCGATGCATGCAGTGCAGGCGTTGTTCAGCCAATAGAAGCGCAGCGCTGCACAGCGTATCGGCTAAACAACGCGCCCCTGGTTTCTTGCATGTCCAAGGGACACAACTCTGCACAGTGCCACTCACACCTCACACTCAACAACCCAAAAAACTTTTGATATGATGTAAATGTTTTTTCAGCTTTAGTATAAATATGAGAAATGTTAATGAGAAAAGGAATTGAAAAGAACTCTAGTGGTATTGGCTGGACCAGTTTTGATAAAGGTATATTGGCCCCATTTAGGACCAAGTCTGCTCGATGATCTTGGTTAATTTCCATCACTTGGAAATTGCTACTAAGTTTTTGTCCTATTGACCCATAGCCAGAGGTTAAACCAAATTTCACCACACCTCACCTCATATGAGGAGAAGTTACAGAGTTACTTCCCTTTCCATAAATTGTTACACCTGTGAAAACTTGATTTTAGGTTAGATCATACATCCGTATCTACCTAAAGTTCTTGTATGAAGTGACTAAATAACCTTGTATTAGCTGTGTAGTGAAAAGTGTGTAAAATATATACAAGAATATGAATGCCTCTACTTTAAACACAAACATTTGGTATGTAAGGGAGCTTTGCTATTTGTTACGTCCACATGAAGACTGACTGACTGACTGAGTTTAGTTTTACGCCGCCGCTTTTAGCAATATTCCAGCAATATCATGGCGGGGGACACCAGAAATGGGCTTAACACATTGTGCCCATGTAGGGAATCGAACCGGGGTCTTCGGCGTGACGAGCCAACGCTTTAACCACTAGGCTACCCCACCGCCCTCCACATGAAGATGTCTGTTAGGATCTGATGAGATCTCACTGGTTGAATCCTAACGTAATTGATGCTGATTTGGAGATTTAACATGTGTTTTCCAACATAATGAGTGAGTGAGTGAGTTTAGTTTTACGCCGCACTCAGCAATATGCCAGCTATATGGCAGCGGTCTGTAAATAATCAAATCTGGACCAGACAATCCAGTGATCAACAGCATGAGCATCGATCTGCGCAATATGGAACCGATGACATGTGGGTCAACCAAGTCAGCGAGCCTGACCACCTGATCCCGTTAGTCGCCTCTTACGACAAGCATGGGTTACTGAAGATCAATATTCTAACCCGGATCTTCAGGGGTTCCAACATAATGGCGTTTTCACACGTTGCTAAGGGAACTCTCACTGCCTGGTGAAGGGTGCATGGGTTCTTCAACCAATCAGATGTAGGCTTTCAAAAATGATTTGGCTTGATTAGCAAATTAAAAGTGTCACAACAAAAATATACCCTCACTAGCATACATGGGTGTAGATGTCATGCCAGCCCTGAAGGCATCATGTGTCACACATCCACTGAACAGATCTATATTGGGAACTCTTCCATTTCTTGAGGTACAGAAATCTGTGTGTGAATGCTTCACTCATCAGCTCGACTGGCTGATTGGCTGACCAGAAGAAGTGGGCCATATCACCTTGAATGACAGAATACTATGATTTGAAATATCACAATAAGTTTGGAAAAAACTGTCATTGCATCTTTACATATCCTGCTTGAAGTGTCTTTTCGGCAAAATCAAAATGAAATTATGAAGTGCAGAAGGTAGACTAATGCTTAGTCTCTGAATATATATAAGTTTAATAGTAGCAAACAAGCCCATATAAATTGAAAAGGAGCCCCAGGGAGACCAGAGATTCAGAACCTGAGGAAATCTAGACTTGCTTTATTTAGGGCTTTAGCACTGCAGAGAAGGCTAGGCAGTAGGGAAAATAATGTGGTTCAGGGACTGTGAGACAGACTATGCAGAAGGCAGCAGCTTGATGACTGTGATGGAAAAGCGCATCTAGTTGCTACATGCTTGCTCTATATACCATGTCTATTACTTTGCAACATCCAACATGTCAGGGCAGTGGGGTGACCCAGTGGATAAAGCGTTCGCTCCTCACGCAGAAGACCCGGGTTTCATTCCCCACATGAGTACAGTGTGTGAAGCCCATTTCTGGTGTCCCTTGCTGTGATATTGCTGGAATATTGCAAAAATCAGTGTAAAACTCAAATAGGCCAAATAAAAAAAATATTATGGTTCCGATTACACATCTTTATAATTTAGGGTAGGTAAGTAGGATTTTTATTTTAATTTTTACATTTTTTATTAGAAGTAAATTGTTTATTCAATCAAGCTTGAGGCCATCATGTCGACTTTCTCTATCAGAATTATCAATGTCCATTGATGCCGGGAAAAAACAATGGTATCTGACAGCTTATTTTATTCATACCACTTAAAAAAATAAGGTCAGCACCAGAATTCAAGGGTCGGTAAGGGTCAAGTAATCGGAACCACATAAAAAATTTTTTTAGGCCTATCTCACTCACTCCATCATGTCAAAGTCATCAAAATATGTGTGACGAAGTCTGGTGTATTGAGTAATTGTTATTTACCTTCATAAAAATTCACAGATGAAAGAACAAATCCAGTGCATTTTGGTAGGTGTTGCAGTACACAATACATGACTCATTATTACAAGAAATTGTAATGTAATGTCATGCTGAAGACCTTGGTGAGATGACCCCACGCGCAGGGCTCCAGATAACGAGGCGACTAACGGGATCGGGTGGTCAGGCTCGCTGACTTGGTTGACACTTGTCATCAGTTCCCAATTGTGTAGATTGATGTTCATACAGTTGATCACTGGATTGTCTTGTCTGGACATGATTGTTTACAATCCACCATCATATAGCTTGAATATTGCTGAGTGTGGCGTTAAGCAACAAACAGAAACATCTGATTTTATTGAGATCAAAATCCAGTGTACATTTTTGTCTCATCTCAGGTTAAGTTCTTTTCCTGCACAAAGCTAAGACCAAATACTTTGTTTGATCATCCCAATTTGACCAAGTTATCAAAAATCTTTTTAATTTCATGATAGTTATAATGGAGTCACTTCAGCTCTGAAAGCATAGGGGTAAAACCTAGCAAAGTTTTGTTTAGAGTGACATTGAAATATGTTTTAGCTGTGATTAATGATAACCTGAAATACACAGATAAATGCTTTACAAGTTTATGATCAGTATTCCTGTTATCAGTTAACGATCAACATTTGATCCACTATTTTTCAGGAGGTGTGAAGAGTACACGTATTCCAAAGGAGAAGGGAACGGAGAAGGGACGTGGCTATGCTTACATGGAGTTTAAGGACAGAATAAGCCATGGGGTAATGTGTGAATTAACACTGCAATTCAAGGATTAACATTACTGAATAACTTGTAAACTGAGGATGATAATCAGATTTATACTTATACAGTCCTTCTGTGTAGAAAATAAAGTTGGATGTCAGCATGGCATGGAGCATTTTTATGAATAACAGCATCTTTATAAGCTACTTTCAGGGCTACTTCTTGCCCCTGACCGCCTCCGTGGTGTAGTGGTTAGAGCGTCCGCCCGGAGTGCGGAAGGTCATGGGTCATACCAAAAGACGTTAAAATATGGTACTTGTTGGTCCCTGCCTGGCGCTCGGCATTAATGGGTACAACAAGGACTGGTCGGCTCGGAGTCAGTATAATATGTCTGAGTGGGGTATTCATGCTTCACTACGGCATGGTATCTCAGTGGATTAGCACTATGAAACCAGCTTCAGTCTGGGCTAGTACAAGCAGCCGCACATACACACGCATGCACGTTGTCATTTGAGTGAAATATTCTCAAGCACGGCGTTAAACCCAATTCCACCACCACCACTTCTTGCCCCTTCATCAGTCAGACATAGGATGTACACAAGATGGGTGTGTTCTGTGGTACTAAGTGCTTGACCATACTTAATTCAGTCACCTTGAAGCCCATTAAGATTTGAACTACCCATGAAGATCCAGGTTAGAACTGGTCGTCGGCAACCCATGCTTCCCGTAAGAGGAAACTAACAGCATCGGGTGGTGAGACTCGCCGACTTTGTTGACTCATGTCATCGTGTCCCAATTGTGTGGATTGATGCTCATGCTGTTGATCACTGGATTGTCTGGTTGACATGGGTACAATGTGTGATGCCCATTTGTGCTGTGCCCAGCTGTCATGTTGCTGGAATATGGCTAAAAGCAGCGTAAAACAAAACTCACTCACTCACTGGTCCAGACCCGATTATTGACAGACCACTGCCATATAGCTGGAATATTGCTGAGTGTGGTGTTAAACAAGTAACCAACCAACCGATTTGAACCTGGCGAGTGTGATGTAAAGTGTCCCATAAATTATCCCAAGCCTGTCAAATTAATCAAGCTTCTCAATCATGGATTGCAAAGTTTCTTCATTTGCTCTAAAAAGATTACAAAGGAGAAACCTTTGTAAAATAAAGAAAATGATCCTCCAAGTTAACTCAAGCTATAGGTCTAACTACAAGATGCATGTCCTAACTGTAGGCTCCCATGGCTGCTCTCAGCTACCCTGGCTGTAGATCTGGTGTCCTCTCCAACCTTCGCCTCTCTCCTCTCCTCTCCCTGCTTCACCTCTCCTCTCCTCTCCAACCTTTGCCTCTCGCCTCTCCTCTCCTTGCGTCATCTCTCCTCTCCAACCCTCGCCGCTCTGCCCTCCTCTCATTGCGTCACCTCTCCTCTTCTCTCCAACCTTCGCCTCTCTCCTCTCCTCTCCTTGCTTCACCTCTCCTCTTCTCTCCAACCTTTGCCTCTCTCCTCTCCTCTCCAACCTTCACCTCTCCTCTCCAACCTTTGCCTCTCTTCCCTCCTCTCCTTTCGTCCCCTCTCCTCTTCTCTCCAAACTTTGCCTCTCTCCTCTCCTATCCAACCTTCACGTCTCCTCTCCCCTCCAACCTTTGCCTCTCTCCTCTCCTATCCACTCTTTGCGTCACCTCTCCTCTTCTCTCCAACATTTGCCTCTCTCCTCTCCTAACCACTCTTTGCTTCACCTCTCCTCTCCAACCTTTGCCTCTCTTTTCTCCTCTCCTTGCTTCTCCTCTCCTCTTCTCTCCAACCTTTGCTCTCTTCTCTTCTCTCCTTGCTTCACCTCTCCTCTCCAACCTTCGCCTCTCTCCCCTCCTCACCTTGCGTCCTCTCTCCTCTTCTCTCGACCTTTGCCCTCTCCTCTTCTATCCACTCCTTGCTTCACCTCTCCTCTCCAACCTTCGCCTCTCTTTGGCTCACCTCTCCTCTTCTCTCTAACCTTCACCTCTCTCCCCTCCTCTCCTTGCGTCCCCTCTCCTCTTCTCTCCAACCTTCACCTCTCTCCTCTCCTCTCTTTGGTTCACCTCTCCTCTTCTCTCCAACCTTTGCCTCTCTTCTCTCCTCTCCTTGCTTCACCTCTCCTCTTTTTTCCAACCTTCGTCTCTCTCCTCTCCCATCCACTCCTTGCTTCACCTCTCCTCTTTCCAACCTTTGCCTCTCTCCTCTCCTCTCCTCTCCTTGCGTCACCTCTTCTCTCCAACCTTCGCCTCTCTCCCCTCCTCTCATTGCGTCACCTCTCCTCTTCTCTCCAACCTTCGTCTCTCTCCTCTCCTATCCACTCCTTGCTTCACCTCTCCTCTCCAACCTTGGCCTCTCTCCTCACTTCACCTATCCTATCCTCTCCAAACCTCACCTCCCCTCACTGCCTTGCAGAGTGGTCCTGATGTGACTGTTTCGAAGACACATGAGTCAGACTTCTTTCTAAAGACCGTATTTATATTTCAGATTGCTCTTCGTCTACACCAGACCAAGTTAGCAGGTCAGAGAATTAATGTGGAATTCACACCATTAGCAGGGAAGAAGAAAGATAAACTAAAGCGAAGACTGCAAGCCCTTGCTCGACCTAAAGCATCACCTGAGAAAACATGATCATCAACACTGCTGCTCATCATTTACATCATTGCTATTTGCTCTCTGAAATCATCATCTCAACCAGATGCCTTCAGTGAAGAATCTGGGTAGCTGTCTGTCAGTGTTTATGTTGTTATGGTTTGATCACATTTCACTTCATTTGTTACAAACAGGTTAGTTTGTGCAAGAATCATTTAGTTGTTGATTTTTATGCTACAGATCAGTAGATGGAAATCTAGACAATGCAGACAATCCAATAGAATCCTACCTCATTTGAGGAGGTACTGACTGCAGTCTTCTGCTTTTGTTATGATCCCATTCTGTCAATATCTCATTAATGCGGCACTCAGCCAAGCCAATATCCATGGGAGATAACTGAGTTGGAATTGAATTACCTCCCTTTGGTCGCAGCGCATGAGTGACAGACAGCTACACAGGTGGGTTTCATGCAGTCATGTTGGGTAATTCATTTGTCCCATAGAATTGTATATGCCCTGATATTTTGTAAATATCAGCTTTACTGTAAATATCATTTAGTGTCTTTATAAAATATTTGACATTTATGGTCGCCGAGCCTGGGTAGGAAATATCCATATTTTGCAACAGTCATTGATGTTGTCAGTTTCTACTACAGTAGATCTAAACGTTAGAGCAATCTCACTGAAATCAGATCCTTTATTCTCCGTGTGAAGATCTAATGACCTCTCATTACTACTGGAAGGTTGCATTAGGGGAAAACCAAGCAAATATTTACAACAAAATCTATGAGATGATAACATGTGTTTATGAAACGATCAGATTTCAACCTTGTGAAAAAGTTTGACAATTTTTAACACTTAATTGAATCAAAGAAACCGACAAAAAAACACAAGTTCCTTTCAAGATACAGAATTTGTATGTACACTTGTCTGAATACTTTGCTCACTAATGATAAGACTCATGATTCACCTCTAAGCAGTGCTTAAGTGTCTGATTAGAGAAATCTCCTGAAGCAGCTTCCTGTCAAATTGTTCATGCAGAGATCCTCAGGTTCATGCAGAGATCCTCAGAGGTTCATGCAGAGATCCTTGGAGGTTCATGCAGAGATCCTAAGGGGTTCATGCAGAGATCGTGGGAGGTTCATGCAGAGATCCTCATGTTCATGCAGCGACCATCGGAGGTTCATGCAGCGACCATCGGAGGTTCATGCAGAGATCCTCATGTTCATGCAACAACCATCGGAGGTTCATGCAGAGATCCTCAGGGGTTCATGCAGAGATCCTGGGAGGTTCATGCAGGGAACCTCCGAGTTCATGCAGAGATCCTCATGTTCATGCAACAACCATCGGAGGTTCATGCAGAGATCCTCAGGGGTTCATGCAGAGATCCTGGGAGGTTCATGCAGAGATCCTGGGAGGTTCATGCAGGGAACCTCCGAGTTCATGCAGAGATCTGCATACAGTGATGAAAGATCTGATTTTAAGGGGATTGAAATTATGTGTGCGTTTTCAGTCTTGCTTTTGTTTCAGTGCTTTCACAAAGCTTAGACCAAATACTGTGTTTTATATGAACGGGATAGTTTTGGAAATTAAGTTTATGTTTTAGTTGAATACTAGAAACCTTGATTTCAAAATAATTGATGTTATGTGTGTTATTAATTTATATCCTGTTGTTTGTTGCAAAGATATTTAAGAGCTAAGACTAGTTTTGATTGTGTTTAAACTATCAATACAAATCTGATGTGTTAAGATTTATGAAAAACTCACTATTTATATACCTGCTTTATATCATGCTGTAAATTGCCATTTCTGTGTAAATAATAAAACAGACTATTTATGAAATTGTCCATCGTAGATCATCTATTTTGATGTTATTCTCATGCTTTCTAGTGTTTGACAGTGTAGTTCTTAGGTAATCCAGTTTGACAATCTTTCATGATCCATTTAGAAGGTTACTCAGGTTTAGGGTAGAAATATAATGAAGAAAATGTATAATGTTTGAAGCTGAATGTTCTATAGAAAACATATCAAAGCTAACTTTAACTGTGTCAATTCTGTTTAGGAAACTACTGAACTTCAGTCCTAATAGTATGTGTTTAGTTTCTCGAACAGACCTTTCAGAAAGATATGTTCATATAAATATTAATTATGGGCTTTTTCTAATGTTATGACATTCATATTGTTTTAAGGACATGCCTACTTAAGCAAAGTATGGAATTTTATGCAGCATTTGGTCTATCTCTGAGTTTTCAAGCTGTCAACTTGAGTGGGATGTCTTCAGTCAACAGTTCCAGAAAGTTATGCCTTACCTTATCACACAGGTCTGGACCAGGGGCTCCTTTCACGCAGCAGCCTTTACTAAGGTTAACCTTAGCTCGCATTCTTTAACATTGCACCAAGGTTACCCTAGTGACTTACAATCACCTTAGTGCATTGTGAAAGTAGGCCCTGAACACTAAGAAATCCTTTGGATTGAAACTGTGAGGAGAATACAGTGCTGGTATTTGAAGATGCATGCACAAAGACAAGTAGTATTCTAACGCACCACTGCAAATTGTTATGCAGAGTTCCTTCCCTTAGGTATCCATGGATCCAATGCATGTGGGTTCAGATTTGAAATTTGCCTTGTTTTTTATTGTTTGATTTACATGTGCTTGTAGGTTTCCAAAAAGTGTTTGAGGTCTGAGACCTCATTGAGGTCTCCTCCATAAGGTTGACAAAGGTGATATAAAGAAATGTGGGAAGTGGTTATTGGGTATTTATCGACTCATCAGATCAAGGAACCATCTGTTGTCCATCCATGTGTCTGAAATACAGGTCAGATTAGATTCAATACTTATGTGGAATAATTCTCAACTGAACAGCCAGCCACAAACCATAAGCCTGTAGCATCTGCACAGATGGAGCCATGCCATATCAGGAACTACACCAGTCCGAGTCCTTTAACCTACTGTGTCCCCATCCACAAAACATTCATAGCTCTATGACATTCGTATTCCATTATGATAAACTACTTAGTTACGATCGTAACTTTACGAACACTTTATGGATCGAGACTCATTCATTCATTGTACATTGCTACATGCCTATAACACACCAGAGCCTATGTTCATGGGTTCGAATCCCTCATTCTCCTTGATTGTTTCCAGGTTTGTCTTCACCAAACCCATGCTCGTGGGTAACATGAAAGTGGTTGCATCAGGCTTTCCTCCATTTTGCTGACACGCCTTGATATACCTTGAATACTGTTCAAACCAGTGTTAAACACCACAACCTAACTCATTCTCAAAATGGTTTATTTGAAATTCTGTGTGTATGTGCTGACACATGTATCCCTGCAGAGATAATGCAGGAAGGTGATTTGTTCATTCAAGACATGCTTTCCTTTGAGAGCAACTTAAACATGTTAAGAGCCTGGTGAAACTATTTACTTTGATGTTGTCTTGCTTCTCACAGGTAGTGTTCAGTGCCAGACTGATAGCGTTAACATTCAAACTGCGTCACATTCATCAGCCATATGGGTACTGGCAGTTGGGAGAACTACATCAATCATTATGTTAATGTTGAATCTGTCATGTTGCCTGAATAAAATTGTGAAATAACCAAGATTCGTTTATTTCTCAGTGTAATCAGTCATGGTAGGATGGAAAGGCCATTCATGACCCTTCTGAGATCATTCTAACCGAATGATTTGTTTGCGTGGCATTGTAGAAGTTGGTGTTATAGAGATGACAAAACTTTATGGATGATCAACTTCTTTATTTTCACAATAGGGACGTTTCGGTATAGCTGCTTGTACCGTTTTCATGCTTGATATGCGTGAAAACGGTATTTATGAAGCTATACGATACGTCGCTATTGTGAAAATAAGTTGATGGTCCATAAAGTTCTGTCATCTCTTTTCTAACCAACTAGTGTCGTAGGGTGGCCTAGTGGTTAAAACGTTCGCTCGTCACGCCATAGACCTGGGTTCGATTCCCCTCATGGGTACAATGCCTGAAGCCCATTTCTGCAGTACCCCGCCGTGATATTGCGATAATATTGCTAAAAGTGGCATAAAACTAAGCTCGCACACTCCCTCCCTCCATGAGGGAGACCCTGTATTGCTAAAAGCCGCGTAAAACCAATCTGCAGCCTTAGCGTATTGGACAGCGAATCCTCCTTGAGCGGGGGCGTTGGGGTAGCCCAGTGGTTAAAGCGTTCGCTTGTCTCGTCATGCGGAAGACCCGGTTTGATTCCCCACATGGGTACAATTTGTGAAGCCAATATCTGGTGTCCCCCGTCGTGATACTGCAGAAATGCCGCGTAAAACCCCTCACTCACTCACTGTCTGAGGCGAGGTTTGATTTTGAAATACTGGTGCCAAATTAGCATTAAATGGACAAAACAAGGACTGGTTAGGCACAGTGTGTATGCTGTAATATATCCGTTACTGGCCTGGAGCATGGTTTGTCATCAGCCAGTGTATTGTATCTCCGTTATGATATGATGTATGGTTAGACACAGTGTGTATGCTGTAATATATCCGTTACTGGCCTGGAGCATGGTTTGTCATCAGCCAGTGTATTGTATCTCCGTTATGATATGATGTATGGTTAGACACAGTGTGTATGCTGTAATATATCCGTTACTGGCCTGGAGCATGGTTTGTCATCAGCCAGTGTATTGTATCTCCGTTATGATATGATGTATGGTTAGACACATGTGTGGTTAGACACAGTGTGTATGCTGTAATATATCCGTTACTGGCCTGGAGCATGGTTTGTCATCAGCCAGTGTATTGTATCTCCGTTATGATATGATGTATGGTTAGACACAGTGTGTATGCTGTAATATATCCGTTACTGGCCTGGAGCATGGTTTGTCATCAGCCAGTGTATTGTATCTCCGTTATGATATGATGTATGGTTAGACACAGTGTGTATGCTGTAATATATCCGTTACTGACCTGGAGCATGGTGTGTCATCAGCCAGTGTATTGTATCTCCGTTACGATATGATGTATGGTTAGACACAGTGTGTATGCTGTAATATATCCGTTACTGACCTGGAGCATGGTGTGTCATCAGCCAGTGTATTGTATCTCCGTTACGATATGATGTATGGTTAGGCACAGTGTGTATGCTGTAATATATCCGTGGCCTGGAGCATGGTGTGTCATCAGCCAGTGTATTGTATCTCCGTTACGATATGATGTATGGTTAGGCACAGTGTGTATGCTGTAATATATCCGTTACTGGCCTGGAGCATGGTTTGTCATCAGCCAGTGTATTGTATCTCCGTTACGATATGATGTATGGTTAGGCACAGTGTGTATGTTGTTATATATCCGTTACTGACCTGGAGCATGGTTTGTCATCAGCCAGTGTATTGTATCTCCGTTATGATATGATGTATGGTTAGACACAGTGTGTATGCTGTAATATATGGAGCATGGTTTGTCATCCGTTATTGTATCTCCATGGTTAGACACAGTGTGTATGTTGTTATATATCCGTTACTGGCCTGGAGCATGGTTTGTCATCAGCCAGTGTATTGTATCTCCGTTATGATATGATGTATACTACTCATCAGAAGTTAAGGAGCATCTGTATGTCATATTTCTGCAGGTAACGCGTAATGCCGTGACAGATATACATGTACTGTAGTAACATTGCTTTTGAATAGTGTATATTGATGGTCTGGTGCCATTTGCTAGCCATGCTGAGGTCTGAGTTACATTCCATTGGCTGCTCAATATACAGATGCATTGTCTGTGTATAAGCAAATCTATTATATACCCATTTAAAATGTTTCCTTGTGAGTGACTTCTCAGGTATGGGACCAGAATGTCCGACTCAGTCCACAGACTTTCTTGACAGAATTGCAAGACTATAGTCTGAGCCCCTGAACCACATTATTTTCCGTTCAGCACAACCCTTTCAGCAGTGTAAGACTTCTAAATGAAGGTGAGTACGACATACAATCTTGATTGTCTGGCCCAGATTCGAATATTTACAGACGGCCGTCAAATAGCTGGGATAATACTGAGAACGGCGCTAAACAACACAAAACCCAAAAACATCCACACCCTCACACATTTTCTGTAGATCAAGTATAACAGTTTGTAAAGTATTTCAAAGTTTATTACATGGAGTATTTACAAAATAAATACAAAATATACATTCATTCGACAGACAAATAAGTTTAAGTACATCATTTTCACGACCTGAAATATAAAAAGGAACAGTCATGATTCATACAAAAGTAACAAAGCAATCCTCAAAACGGGATTTTCTTCCGGAAAAATACCCCATGACTTATCACTGGAGTGTCCATGAAACAATACAGAGAATGAAAAACAAACAAAACCTCACAAATTAAGTACACCCATCTGAACTTTAATGGTTATTAAACTGTAGTTACATGGTTGCGTGACTGTCTTCGGTTTAGTGAGTGAGTGAGTTTAGTTTTAAGCCACTTTAGCAATATTCCAGCAATATCATGGCAGGGGACACCAGAAATGGGCTTCACACATTGTCCTGGGTTTAACACTGCTTAGAACAGTATTACAATTATATCAGAGCATGTCCGTTTGATGTGGGATGGGACCCGTGAAGGTCCGGATTAGAATTGGTCTTTAGTAACCCATGCTTGTCGTAAGAGGCGACTAACGGGATCGGGTGGTCAGGCTCGCTGACTTGGTTGACACATGTCATCGTATCCCATGTGTAGATCGATGCTCATGCCGTTGATCACTGGATTGTCTGGTCCACACTGGATTATTTACAGACCGCCGCAACATAGCTATACTATTGCTGAGTGCGGCGTTAAACAGCAAACCAACCAACTCATGTGGGATGGAAGCTCGAAATGACGCTTGTCTTTGACGTTTATCACTGTGGGGCAACCTACGAGCCAGTAAAGCACGGGAAACAAAGAAACGGAATCGGGATTAACCGGATTTGAACAAAAGATCATAGATTTCTGGTGCTAAGGGGACGCAACTCCTCAAATCCAATTGTGACGCCTTCGACCAATTGGTCATCCGCCATATGAGATTGAAGAAAGTTACAGGTTCACTATTTTGTTTTCCCGGCATACAACGATGGGTATAACTTTGATTTACGCTGAACCTTTCAAGATAAAATGGGTCCTGTTAATACTGATTTTCTTAAATACTATACATCATATTTGGCAGTTTCAAAGTTAGTCTTTCGTCCTGGGATTATTCATATGTCTTTCTCAAATCTTGAAGGTATACCTTTCCAAAGCCTACATATTGTAAGGTGATATGTTTTTGTTAAATTGGTTGACATTTATACACTCATTTTACTGGTATTTGTTATAAATATTTACAAAGTTATATCAACTGCTGAAGTTATAACACCAGTCGAATTATGTACAGTTACAATCACCGTTAAATGACAGACAACATATAGCTGTTACACAAATACGTACACGTCTGTGTCATTTTCCTTGACTGTACATCGATGTCAAACTGTACGGAGACCTCCGATGAATAGCTGCCAGAAAGTCTCGGTTTGCATCAGTGGTTTGTTCAATACTTACAGAATACAAGTACAAGATTCAGTCCATCTTACAGAAGATTCAGTCTAAAGATTCAAAATAGTTCGTCATTATGATTCGTGTGTAAAATAATAATAGCATGAGAGATTAAGATATTACAAACACGCGGATGTGTGGTGGGAATGTATCATGAGGTATACCATTCGTAGAGTCTTGTCATCAAGGCTTGAGTTAGTGAGTGTGTTGGGATTAAGGCTGCTTTGAAACATATTTCAGTTATTCTACGCCGTGTGATATTGATGTGGGATAAAACCTCAAAGTGATGCAAGTCTTCGACGTCCACCACTTTGGTGCCACCCACAAATACTGTTATAGCGCTTACAAACACGCAAGCGCAGGACGAACCCACGATTATAGCTTTTGGGCTTGTCTAAGGGCCGCAACTCTGTACAGCAAAATGT